GTCTATGCTATATTGAGTAGGCTGTAAATAATGCCCGGTACGGCCCGCGCGGTAGCCTTCGGCTAGTACCGCCAGCTAGGATAAACCTGCCGACGGTGAATTCTTGTAAACCTTGAATTTTCCGAGTACACTCGACGGAGAAAGTACTGCCGCAGTGTACAAGTGCAATTCTGACAGACTTGGACTCGGTCCCTATACGTGGCACTCATCGGACGGTGCCAGCCCCAGCCAGCGGAAAGTTCGGGACCCCGAAATGTACCTAGTTAAAGTGCGCTTTTTGACAACGGGATGGTCAATGTAGTGCCCTGCATACTTGCTTTATCTAGGTTATGTAGATAAAAATTATGACCAGCAGACGCGTCTTTCTTTTGTGGATAAGTGATTATAGGCGTTTGTATTTTTTGCAAAAGCTTTATCGTGTAAAAGCTGTTGTAAATTATTTGACAAAAGAGGGGTTCCGGAGGGCCTTTTCAAAGGGACTTTTGTTACAAAAGTGATTATGAGCCAGATAACGTGAATATGGTTGTACATTTTTCATATATTGAGCACTCTGACGCCATTCATTTTTCTAGAAGGGGCAACGCTCCGTTATTTGTTGCTGATGCCGACCTCTTTGCCGGGTTCGCAAGCAGTTCGAGGTCAGGTACTTCGGTGTCCTCATTTTTTTAGTCATTAGAATAACCTTCAGCTGCCAACTCAAGATCGCGGGTCCTATGAATTGAAGTGAGGTGCCTCCGTTCTTCAAAGGTATTGGCGCGTACATTTCGAGGCCGGTGTGCCTTCCGTTCTGCCTTTCTGGCGCACTTCAGTGCGCTTCTCCAATTAACGTGTACAATGTATATTGAACCATGCAAGCCAGACGTATCCCAAAACGCATGAAACCCTTCCTTTACCAGGGATTTTACAACATTTCTAGTGATATGGGCGAGATTGTAGGGGTATGTTAACGCTCGTAAGCCAGCTAACATACCTATGTCCAAGTTGATACTCATGGAGCCTAACTCCTGATAGGAACGCATTATAGCGCACCTCACCGACCTACGTACCTTTTTGTCCATTTCGAGTACTGCAGTTCGGTCCTTCGGTTGATGACGAACGATCGAGTCCATTCGATCCTATTAATGTAATATCATAATAAAGCAAATTGTGCCAATTGCTGAGACGAACTGGAACGAAACGTGTGTGAAGGCGCTGAAGGCCTTCGGTGTTACTACTTGTCAAGCGAGGTGTGGCACCTTCGAAAGGCCTTCGACAATCGGAACCTTCTCTCGAGTTTAACTTCAACCCAAGCCTTCCTTGCTGCATCGAGCAACTCCTTCGAACGCTCCATCTGTTCCTCAAACTCAGCGAGTCTCTGTAGGTACACCGTATAATCTGTGACGAGTGCAGCCTCCACGTTCAGCCAAGCCTTCCAAAGCACCCCCCCTGCTTTCTGAGCGATGAGTCCGGGCTTGAAACGTTGCTCATTCAAAGGCGCAAACAACTCGGTAGCGTAGAGAGCCTGGATCGCTCTGTGAGACCGTTCCACTTCTCCCTTCTCAATGCCACGTAGCTTGTGGCTGTAGTGCCGTTGAAAGTCCTCTAGATGGTTCGCGCTTCTTCCCTGGTAACATGCAAAATGAGCACTTGTCAGTGAAATGTACACAGTTATTGCAGCTTCGGATTATGAATAATGACATATGTACACTCAAAGCATCACAATGATCAAAGATGTACACCTTTTAAGTAGATTGCTTGATTGTTAGGGCTTGACGAAGGATCCAGCTCATCTCACCTCGACCTTGTCTGGATGAAACTTGAGGGACCAAGACGAGTGACTCAGTTGGATCTCCCCCGAGCCGAACCTCGACTTCACCTCGTTGGGGGTGAATTGAGCGTCCGCTAGAAGCCACGAGATCGGAGGCGGCGTGTACCTCGGTGCTTCGGGCTCGGGGGGTTCTGGCACGGCAGTCAAGGCAAGAGCGCGGTACTTCGCGATATGGGGAGCGCGAAATATAGCCCGCTCTCTTCTCAAACTCGTCCTGTACTTCGCGACCGACGCTTGATTGCTTTGCTGCTTCATGCGCCTGGCGGCATCCGGGCTGAGACCTCGCAATCTAGAGACGGGGCGCTCGCTGGGCAACTTCGCTGACTCGCAACCGGTCCTTGCAGGGTGGACCTCGAGAGCTTGCTTTGATGCAAAGTCCTTATTGCATGCATCTTCAGATTGTAATGAATGATGCTCCAGACAAACATAGCGGCCATCCCGCCTTTCCCAATGTTGTACGGCCGCTTCGGGTTCGGTTGGCGGCACAGGGCTTGGAGCATCGATGGGGTCTGCCATCGCCATCCCCTGGCGACTACTTAAAACTGGTGGTGAAGTACATTCGCCGTTCAACTCCTAAGTCTCTAATACAACCGACGTCTGGCACTGACTGGCACCTATTGGCGCCGATTGCGCTTCCTTTGCGCACTCGCCCGGGCCTGCCGAGCTTTTAAAAGGCCGCCAGACGTCCGACCGCACCCATTAGCACATGGTCGCCTACACCGTGTCGAAGGCGATGGGTCGGGGTCTGTCCAAGCTGTCCAAGCTTTACGTGCATGAAGTATTTCCATTGTTCGACTTGATGACGACACCAGTCCATCAGTCCGTTGTAATTGCTAATGTGGACTCGAGCAGCGGCCTGTTCGGGTTGTCCAAGCTCTGGCGCGAAGTTGTCTGTCATTCCGTTTGCTGACGGCATCAATCTGTTGTAACTGACAGCGTCCACTTGGGCAGGGCTGTCCAGGCTGTCCAAGCTTTTGCGCACAATCCGGGAGATGGCCTCGGCATGTGTCCAGGTGTCCAAGCGTTCTACGGAACTTATTGTGGCCGCGAAATGCTGACGTCACCATAACTAGAAGTTGCAGACTTTAGTGCCGTTGAGCTTAGACATTTCATACGCTAGATAAGCCACCATTCAACTGTGACGAATGCAGACCTTGATTTTTAGCACGAATGTTTAATAACAGTGATGTTTCTCACAGACGATGTTATATCCAGCACCAAGCTTTTCGAAAACACGAACGACCACTGAATCGATGAAGTTGAATGTACACGAACCTACTTCAATAAATACACAATCTAAAATACAATATTAGTGAGCGCGCCAGCCTGCATGGACAGTCATTCTGAGTCACTACCATGCCTATTGTACAATGGGAGCCTCGAACCCCTATGATAATTAGAATTCATAATTGCACTTGATTCCTGGATAGTAATACTGCCACGGCGAGTCGTTATTCCTAAGCCTCTTGAATCTCTTCCGTTCCATTCTTCTTTTCAGCTGCTCTTTGGAGACGGCCTCGGAGGAAAAGCTATTGTAAAGCCCAACAAAATCATTCTCCAAAGTCGAGTGCCCTTCCCCGAACTCGCAGTGCTGGTCGAGAAATAGCTGCAGCTTGTCCATCTCGCTCAGGTACTCACGTGTCGCGTTCCGCACTGCCTCAGGAGGAAAACCGAGCCCGTTTGCGCTAGCATACCACTCGACGGAGCCGCGGGCTATCCACGAAAGGACCTGCCGAAGCGACTCCTCCTCCTTCATGCGATCCTTCAACCCGTCGTCTCGGAGGCGGTGGGTGGCGTTGGTGGGATCGAACTTGTCCGCGCCCACATAGCTGTTAGGAAACGGCATTACTCGCAAACGGCGTATGACGTTGTCCTGGACTGCGGACGCAGAGATGGTGGGGGGGTAATTCGTCTGAACGAAGGGCGTGTGGGTGATGTTGAACTGTACGTTGCGCCCATGGAGAGGGCGCGCCTTCGTCTCGCCCCCTCCGGTCATTCCAAGGACAAGCCCAAGATCGACCTGCTCGCCTTCGGCCGTCTCGTCGGTGATGGCGAGCCGCACGCCCATCAGCTCGTAGATGTAGTCCGTAGGCGCGTTCTTGGAGGCGACTCTCTGGCAGGGAGCCGTGACGACCGCGTCCTTAGACATGAGGCCGTAATAGTCTCCGGTTGCAGCCTGCAGCGTCTCCTTCAGGACCCCTTTCCCGTTTCCTGCAAAACGACGGAGAAACGAGCTCAACTCAAGATAACAAAGATGATTCAGCAAGCATTCACGCCTTCAGGCACACGGAAGAAAGCTGGTCGGATCGCTGGTCGTGGTATAATGAGATGCATAATCTGTTGATTTAGAGATCTATCAATGTTTAAGGCCGTCCATCCGCATAGAGCTCCAAACTGGTATATGGGCTCTTTTGGCAAACGCGATGTGGCCAAGAAGTCGCACAGAACGCTGAGAAGCGAAAAACCGTTGGACGACTAGCTACGAGCGGCCAGGCCTGATGCTACTTGACATCCAAAAAGCACATCACACACTTTCTGGACGACAAGAATGGAAACAAAACCGAGGCCTGGCTTGAACTCAGCAGCAATCTCCTTCCAAGACTAAGCCCGACAATCTAGAGACCTTACCTCCCGCTCCGAGCAAGAGCACAAAAATCTCCTCCTGGGTACGGCCGTTCAGGGCCAGCCAAACAGCTTCCGCATGTAGTCCACCAGCTCGGAGTCGTGGTTGAAGATGTCGCCCAGAAAAGCATCCATGAGAGGGCTTGGGTAGTCGATCCCCTGCAAAGACAGGTTCTTGGTGTTACGGACGGATATACAGGCTCCTTGCCTTTTTGCCTCAAAAGCAATGGAGCAGATCGTAGATGCACGTCCTCAGAGTTAAATGTCAGCAAGATTGTAAAGAGCCAAAATCACAACGGAAGAAGAATCCAGCGGCAAAGGATGCACGCCAACGCCTTGCTCGTGTCTTTCACAGGCAGCCAAAAGTGCGCGCTTTCACGAGACCGTAAGAGAACGAGAAGGTCGTTCAGGGGCTCCCAGCAATCAATAGCGTGCTAGCCAACGAAGTCCTTTTGGAAGCAGCATGGGGTGCTTACCTTGAAGTCCGTCTCCGTGATCTTGGAGCACATGTATTGGGGCCTGTGCGCATCCAGCTCGCCCGTCCTGAGAAGGAGCACGCCGTTCTTGACGTTCAGGATATCCGGGTTTGCGTCCAGCTGCTGGGCGAGGTCGTCAGCGGACAACTCCCCCTTAATGAGCTCAAGCGTACTGGACATCTCACGGGTGTTGTTGTAGGTGCGCAGGTGCTTAAGCTGCAGGAATAGCTCCTCCTTCTTCTCCTCGTCAGTGGTCGCCTTAATCTTTGCGCTCCACTCGTCCCTCACTCGCGCGTACACGATCCTGAGCTGATTGATGAGGACGTGCTTCACCAGGAAATCGCTCTCATTTGACACGAAGCGCCGCCCCTCCCAATGCCACCAGCGTTTCCCATCGAACCACAGCCTGCAGAAGGGCAAGTAGGACGAGTTAACCGAGGCTGGCGAGCACAATTCGGCGTGAGCTCTTGAGAAGCGCGTCCAGAGCTCTGAATGCATCAAGCAATTCTGGTCTACCAATCCCCTTCAACTTCCATAGAAAGCCTGCTTAACCTGCACTTATAACCGCACCAAGGAGTCCAGAATAAAGTTCAAAAAAAACTCTCAAGAGATTGAAGCACGATGATGACGTCAGCAATATCAGGCCGACGAAATCTTACACCAAACCTTGGACACTTGGACGGACTGCCAAGCCAAGCCCAGTCCGTTGTCCAAATGTCCAAGCTTCTGCCAAAAGATTCGAGCAAAAATCTGAGCGTGACGTCAACAATATCAGGCCGACGAAATCTTACACCAAACCTTGGACACTTGGACGGACTGCCAAGCCAAGCCGAGTCCGTTGTCCAAATGTCCAAGCTTCTGCCAAAAGATTCGAGCAAAAGACTGAGGATGACGTCAGCAATATTAGGGGAAATCTTACACTAACCCTTGGACACTTGGACAGACTGCCAAGCACCTGAGACCTTCTCAATTGCAGCAAACCTCTTAAAAACAAAAATGGCTCAAAATCACCTTTTCGCTGTACAAGCGTTGGTAAGAATGATCTAGATGACGGGCGCTCCTACAAAAGCGTTTTATTGCATGTGCCAGACGAAGTTTGCCCACCTGCCACAACTCGTGTACATGGCAGCAGCAATCTTGCTGCCGCCGACGTCCCCCTCAAATGCCCAGTAGTCCACGAAGTCCTTGTGGAGGGCGTCGATCGCGCTGGCGTCATCAGCACGGAAGGCACGAATCTCGCCACCAATCATGGCCTCTGAGCGCGTGAGCTCTCCGATCTTTCGCAAGGGGCGGACCCCCTCGCACTCCGAGCTGTTGCAGCAATACAGCAGGGCCCTGCCGCGTACCAGCACGCTGAAGTTGTTGGAGCCGTCGTGGTGATTGCCGTTGGGGCAGCGTCGGGGCCCGTCCACCCGAAAGACGTACATCGGGCCGTTGACGCCCGTCTTGAGGCGATCGAAGCGAGAGGCGGTGTCGCCAGTATCCGCCACGCAGGCCTTGACGCGCTTCAGGATCGCTGCTGGGGGAGGCTGCTGAGGGTCTTCGACCGGACGAGGGGGTCCGAAAGCTGCGGTCTGGGCCTCGCTACAGAATATAAAAGAGTAAAGCATCACAACGCTGAAGGAAAGAAAGCAAACATGTCGATGTTCTCACATCATAGATGGAAACTGGGACAGATGAGTCAGGCTACTCCGGGCCCGGCTGTCCACCCACTGATCGACATATAAAACTAC